TCCAAGAGGGACATGGAGCAAAGGGTTAAGGCATGGCCATTGCTTTCTCACTCCTGCCCCCTCGTTCTCTGTCTCTGCCTCCAGCAGGTATACACGCCTTATAGCAAATTAAAAAAAAAATTTATGTGTTTGTTTGTTGCTATCTTTTTGGTGCATGACAGAGCCTGCTATATAGAATATATTTGCTGAATGCGTGACTACTCTGCTTGTCTATCGACCTACCTGCTCACCCACCAACCTCAGAATTAGAATTAAGAAGTGAAGCTTTTATACAAGGATGTAAATAGAGGTGTGAATGTGAAGTAAAAACGTATCCTGTTTGGCTATCAGGATTCCCAATTACGGTGTAATGATCAGAATATGTCACCTCAAAAGATGCCACTTTGGTAAAAGGATTACTTTGAACTGAAGGCAACTGAGAAAACAATTGATGCAGGAAAATTTCTCTGTCCCCTCCCTTTCTAAGAGCAGGGCACAAATTCCCTTTGTAAAGAAAAAAATTAATTTCCATTCGCAAAGATGTCACTCTTTCTCATACCAGGGAGAAATACTAGGGATGATTCTAATCAATGTAGAAGGCATACACTTGAGTCTGCTTTACTCACTAATCTTTTCCTTTCATTAGTTTTCCTATATACAGATGCTTCTGAACTTATGATGGGATTACATCATTATGAATTCATTTGGGGAGTCCAGTAGGTGCCATAATGGTTAAGGCACTAGACTCCAACATGGCCGATTGTAATTTGAGTCCTGGGCCCAGCAGCTGGAAACTCACACTGGGCACACGTGAGTGTATGCGCCCAAAATCCCAGGAAGAGAATGGAGGAGAAAAGATTGCGAATGACCGTCCCCCTGGGAGGTGATTTCTCACTTCCCCTCTCACTGTCTATTTCTCTCCCCCTTTCTCTCTCTCTCTGTGAGTATACAGGCCCTATGGCAAAAACCTTTAAAAAAAAAAAATCATTTGTGGGGCCAGCAGGTAGCATGGTGGTTAAAAGTACTGAACTCTCATATGGCCAACCGCAGTTCGAGTCCTGGACCTGGTGACTTGCTCTCTCTCTCTCTCTTTGCTCTCTCTCTCTCTCTGTTTCTTTCTGGTCAAAATTGAAAAATAATGATAATAAATAAATAATTTAAAAAATTCATTTGTAATGTGAAAATATCATATGTTGAAAAATTGTTATTTTTTCTTACTTTTCCAGTTTATTGTTTTTTGTAAAAATGGTATATAAGCCCTCAGATCTAAGCTCTTCTTTGTATGTTTTCATTTCTTTTCTATGAAGACTTCTATACAGTAAACCTTTCCTCTTGTTAATCAATCTTTTGTTAATTTAATTTGCAGAGTCTCAGTCACTTAACATAAGAGGGTAGATGAAAAGGCTTTTCCTCTCCAACATGTATATTGTAGATAAATTAGAAGACCATAATCTCTAATTCCAAGATTTTTCTCAAAAGGAGATTTAAAGAATGTGAAGAGAGCCAGCTGGTATGTTATGGTTAAAGCAGCTTGATCCCACATGGCCAACTATGGTTCAAGTCCTGAACCTGGTGACCTGGAATACACACTGGGCACATGTACATGCGTGTCCAAAATCCCAGGGGGAGAATGGTGGAAAAGGGACTGTGGTGTGGTCATCCTCCTGGGGAGTACTTTCTCACTTGACCTCTGGTGAGCATGCGTACCCTATAGCAAGTTAAAAAAAAACAATGGGACTAGCAGATGGCATAATGGTTACCTCACTGGACTCCCATATAGTTGACTGTGGTTTGAGTCCTGGACCCGGCTTAAAATTCACACCAGGCACATGTGCACGTGTGCCCCAAATCCAGAGAAGAGAATGGTGGAGAAGGGATTGTGGCATGGCCATCTCCCGTGGGGTGTGATTTTTCACTTTGAATCTCTCCACCTCTCTCTGTCTCTCGAGCGAGTACATGTGCCCTATAGCAAAAAAATCTCTCTTAAAAAAAAGAGAGAAAGAGAGAGACTTTGATAAGATAAAGGCATTTCATCAAAAAGCATTGCATTGGTAAATATTTATTAAAATTAACAATATTTTTAAAAAATTAACAATATTTTAATTTTCCTTACCATTATTTATGTTGAACCACACAAAGAGCATCTAAAATTAATAATCCTAGGTTACTGTTCAGAAACTGAGACAGTTAACATGTTAACAAATCCTTTTTTCTTTTCTTTCCTTTTTTTTTTGGAGAGATTTTCACTGTAGGGCACGTGCGCTCGCCAGACAGACAGAGAGAGACATAGAGACAGAAAGCGAGAAATCACCCCCCAAGGGGGATGGCCACGCTGCAATCCCTTCTCTTCCATTCTCCTCTCGGGATCTTGGGCATGCACGCACACGTGCCCGTCGTGAGTTTTAAGCCACCGGGTCCGGGACGCGAACCACGGTCGTCTACATGGGAGTCCAGCGACATAGCCATTATGCCAACTGCTGGTCGCAACAAATCCTTTTTCATTTACTTTATGTTCAACTATTTGTTTTATTCAGTTTATTTTCAATTATCTTCTTTCAAGCATGAAAAACAGATTTTAAAAAATATCGTATGTTGAAAAATCCACTGCAGACCACTGCAATTTGGGGAGTGGGGCATATCATTTGTCTAAGAATTTGTGTGACACTATAACATTCTCACCTACATAGCTATATTACAAAGTTTCTCCAAGTTTACTTATATAAAAACTGGAAAAGAGAAGCTGGCTCCATGGCCTGGTAGTTAAGGTAGCTGGATACCACAGAGCTGACTGTAAAGCCTGAGTCCTGGACCCCACAGCTTGAAAAGCACACTAGGTATGTGTGCATATGTGCCCAAAATCTGAAAGGAAGGGAAAGATGGAGGAGAAGAGATGGCAGCATGACCATTTGCACAAGAGGTGCTTTCTCCTCTCCTTCTCTATAAGTGCATGCATTCTCTAGCACAAAAAAAAGAAAAAAATGGAAAAAGAGAAAGAGAACAATAATATAAAATATATTTCATTAAGATATGTTTACATACAGTAATAACATTCTAAAATCTGAAATACCCATAAAGATGTGGAACAATTAAATGTAAATTAGAAGCTATAAAATTTAAAATTGTAATATATTTGTAATACTGCTTTGATCAATTATAATCAAGGGAGTGATATTTACAACCAAGAAGGGAAAAAAAATTAATCTCCTAGACTCTTACAGTAAAAAGAAATAATTTCATTTCAATTCACAAATGTATGTAGCAGACAAAAGTCATTAAAATATAAAAATATATTCCATTAAAATAAAGACACATTACACATTATAGTTCAATTGAAATATATGTAAATTTTCTGATCACTATAGAACTGTTTTGTTAAAAATAAAACTGTAAGTATGTCAAACTGCTTTTTATTTAGATTACCTGAATACATTTAGTACAAACATTTCAGTTTTGTTTTAAAATTCAACTATTTTCAAAAATAAATAAATAAAATAAAATTCAAATATTTAAAATGTACTGGAAACTGTATCTTTTATACTTATTTAAACTTAAGATAAAAAATTAAGCTGTAACCTGAAAAATGTCTAGAGGTTTGTAGCTATATGTATATAAGCAAAAAATGTCTAATGACCTCAATACCATCCAAACCACAGCTTTTCTAGTTTTGGCTTTTTAAATTTATAGTGTTTATGGATTTGAGGAACTAAGATTTTTAACTTCTTTTGGAATGGTGTCAGTACAGTTAGAAATACATTATAGTCTTAAATATTCAAAAAAGCAGCATTCATTTTATACTTGGGATTGGAGAAAGGTAAAGGGTTCTTGAAAATTTACTAAAAGGAGTTTTAAATTACTATATATATAAAATTGGTTTTCTGATTCATAAATTCTCTAGTAACTACCTTTTGAATCATGATACTCAATGACAATATTCCTCATTATAGTTAAAATTATGGGAGCTTTAAGGATGTATTTCCTTCCCTGAGGTACTTAAGTTACATCACACCATTTAACAAGAGTGCCTGCCTACATGATGGTAAAATTACTGGCTACATTTATCAATACTACTCTAACCACAGAATCTACTGCATAAAGTAGGGGTTATGTTTATAACAGGTTCTGCTGCCCCAAATCTTAAGGTTATTATTAAAACAATGTTCTAATATTTTATGACCATTAGATACACTTTAGATAAACAGCAATTTTGTAAGGCTCTGAAAATACGGCATCTCAATTCTTTTTTATAAAGCAAAAACAAAAACATACTGAAAAAAATTTACCAATGCATTTAGATGTAACTGTAATACTGTCTATTAGTAATACTTCTTTACCAGCTATAGAAGAGAATGCACGCATGTAAGGTGTGGGCTGATATTGATTTAAATAGACAAAGAAGGAATGCATTTCAGTAAAAAGAAGTGAGATGGCTGATTGACAGTTCTTAGAAAAAGGTTAAAAATTCAAAAGGAGTGACTGCATGTAGCTTAGAACTTAAAAGCTTTTTTCTCTTCCCAACAGAAGAGCAGTCATAAGTAATAACAGGTTACCATGGAGATGAGAAACCAGAGGCATCAGAGAGCTCAATTTGCAGTTAAATGGGCTGGAAACAATCCTTACTACTAGGTGAAGGGAAGAGATTAAAAATATACTTGATTGCCAGAGGGATTCTTTTTCACCTAGCTATTTCCCAACCTCATTAATGGAGAAGGAAATTAAAAAAAAAAAAAAAAAGAAAACCCAAGGTAGATATAACCCATTAAACATAAAACATAATTTAGGATTTCAAACATTATCACAAATCCTTCCTATTCTGAGTAATTGTGCTTCTTTTCAATGGTACTTAGAGTAAATACTGGAATGAGACTAAAATGGGGTTCATAAACAGGTATAACTGAGGTGACTGGAACTTCAGGGGGGAAAAAAAGCACAATTGAAGAGTAACCATAGTAACCACAATCTGTTTTGAAACATTCAAAAATCCTGGTTTTTGAAAAATCTCTTCACAGTCAATCATAGAATACCTTTGTGAGTGCTGTACAGGGCTGCAAACGTCACCATGAAGAAAGTTGTAGAGTATTTGCCAGCATTAACTAAATGAGGAAAGGCCCTTTTTGTGTCTCGGTATCGACGCAGGCACTGGATGAAGCGAAGCCAAG